TACCACCAGGCCAGCTGTATATATACCTGTACCACCAGGCCAGCTGTATATATACCTGTACCACCAGGCCAGCTGTATATACCTGTCACATTGGTGTGGTACCCAGGGGAGGGATGGTGGTTGGGGGATGTATTTTCTTATTCAACCATCTGCATGTACAAATGTCGATGTAATAAAGAGTTATCATTTATTGTTCAAACTATTGTGACAAGAGCTTACATTTTTCACTTCCTTCATTTACGGCTGGTTTAACCTGATTTCATAATACGGCATCTGATTGGTCAATAGCAATGAACACTTTATCAACACACATCTTGCATATATTATTTGCATATTGAGGTCATCCAATGAAATGCTACGTTTCAAAGGTAAAAGGTCACCGTGCGTTAGACAAACTCGCAGAAAACGATGTCACACTTGCAGCAAATAACTAAAGAAATTAAACTATAAAAAGATGTTACTGGCGAAAGAACAGTATATATATCAAGATAAAGGTAAAAAAAATACCAAGTCTCATGTTTACAATTGAATTTGATGCAGAATACCAGCCAAACACTTGTATGCCTACATCACTACTGCAGTAAACAATCATAATTACGATCGTACTGATCGTCAATTTCCTACTAACTTTATGAAATGTAACTGCATACTGAAATGAAATACAAAGAATATATTTATTTCTATACTTATACAATATTTCAACTAGAGTAAAGAACAAGGTTAGTTACAAAATATCTTTATTTTTACAATCTTCTTCGTAGAGCCACATCACATAGGCATTTGACTAAGTTCACTTCCGGTTTTGACGGCTGAAAAACGTCAGAAAATATGTATTCTGTTTCTGTTAATATCATGTTTTTCTCTGACAAATGGGAAGTGATATTAAGCGAAATCTACTGTACATATACCTGATGTGTATACATATATATAACAAAGAAATCAAAATCAGACTAATTACTCACAGTTTTTTCTATAGGAAGGCAACTTGGAATTAACGAACTTAAATTAATTACACATCTTTAGCCATGCCATGAAATAAACTTGTTCTGGAATTTTATCTTTTCTTGACTTGTTTGTATAAAACAAAGAAGCGAATTACTCTATTGATGTGGTGTTGTAGGGAAACCTTTCATAAAAAGTATAAAATTATAGGAAAACTTACCACATTTACCCATATCACATAACTGATACTGATCCCCTATCCTGACACTACAACATTGATATGAAATGTGATGTGATTAACTTTTAAACTTTTTCCTCTGAAATAGTACAGCTATCTATAGATTTTCTATAATCACCAGAGATAGCGTACACATTTAATTCTCTTTGTACATGTATATGTTCAGTTGAAATTTTAAGTAATCAAAAAACAAAAAATATGTGTATCGTTGATTCAATATTATGAAATATTCAGTTAAATGATTCTTTCCTTTCTCTTTCAATTTTCATATCAAAAAGAAACCCATTTCATTAAAAACAATTATTGAAATATGTACTTCAGTCTTTTGAACTTTGGTAAACACTGTAGTGCACCGGAGTTAACATCGTAGTGTACCGTAGTTAACACTGAAGTGCACTGGAGTTAACATCGCAGTGCACTGGAGTTAACATCGTAGTGCACTGGAGTTAACATCGTAGTGCACTGGAGTTAACATCTTAGTGCACTGGAGTTAACACTGAAGTGACCTGGAGTTAACACTGAAGTGCACTGGAGTTAACACTGTAGTGTACCGGAGTTAACATCGTAGTGCACTGGAGTTAACACTGAAGTGCACTGGAGTTAACACTGAAGTGCACTGGAGTTAACATCGTAGTGCACTGGAGTTAACATCGTAGTGCACCGGAGTTAACACTGTAGTGCACTGGAGTTAACATCGTAGTGCACTGGAGTTAACACTGAAGTGCACCGGAGTTAACACTGAAGTGCACTGGAGTTAACATCGTAGTGCACTGGAGTTAACATCGTAGTGCACCGGAGTTAACACTGTAGTGCACTGGAGTTAACATCGTAGTGCACTGGAGTTAACACTGAAGTGCACTGGAGTTAACACTGAAGTGCACTGGAGTTAACATCGTAGTGCACTGGAGTTAACATCGTAGTGCACCGGAGTTAACACTGTAGTGCACTGGAGTTAACATCGTAGTGCACTGGAGTTAACACTGAAGTGCACTGGAGTTAACACTGAAGTGCACTGGAGTTAACATCGTAGTGCACTGGAGTTAACATCGTAGTGCACCGGAGTTAACACTGTAGTGCACTGGAGTTAACATCGTAGTGACCTGGAGTTAACACTGTAGTGCACCGGAGTTAACATCGTAGTGCACTGGAGTTAACACTGAAGTGACCTGGAGTTAACACAGAAGTACACTGGAGTTAACATCGTAGTGCACTGGAGTTAACATCGTAGTGCACTGGAGTTAACACTGTAGTGCACCGGAGTTAACATCGTAGTGCACTGGAGTTAAAACTGAAGTGAACTGGAGTTAACACTGTAGTGCACTGGAGTTAACACTGAAGTGAACTGGAGTTAACACTGAAGTGCACTGGAGTTAACACTGTAGTGCACTGGAGTAAACATCTTAGTGCACCGGAGTTAACACTGTAGTGCACCGGAGTTAACATCGTAGTGCTCTGGAGTTAACACTGAAGTGACCTGGAGTTAACACAGAAGTGCACTGGAGTTAACATCGTAGTGCACCGGAGTTAACAATGTAGTGCACTTGAGTTAACATCGTAGTGACCTGGAGTTAACACTGTAGTGCACCGGAGTTAACATCGTAGTGCACCGGAGTTAACACTGATGTGCACTGGAGTTAACATCGTAGTGCACTGGAGTTAACACTGAAGTGAACTGGAGTTCACTTCAATGTTTTGTCAAGTGCATTTCCTTGTTCACTATGTGTGCACTACGATTTGGAAGAGTTCAAATGTGTCTTCAGGGGTAAATGAGTCTCTATATCTTATTATCCTAATTAAATGTCAATTTAGCTGTTACGATCCTACAAAAGATGTTGTTTGTAATGTACATACAGGTGCCCAAATTATTGATTTGATGATGCTGGTTGTGGATGTCACCAAAGGCATGCAGACACAGACTGCTGAATGTCTCGTCATTGGGGAGATCGCCTGTCAGAAAATGATTGTAGTTCTCAATAAATTGGATCTTCTACCAGCAGACAAGAGGGAAGCTATGGTGGAGAAGGTATTAATTTGTTTCAGTTCATTTGGCACGGCGGCCTTGAGTTGTAGTAATTATACTAGAAGATTTAGAAATGATTATTTTTGGCTTTTTGAAGGAGAGAGTGTATACAGGATTGGAAAAAAATCTGTCTATCACCCTGGGACTACAAACATGTAATTCCACTAGTTTACAGAGAATTCTAGATTGTGGTTAGTCTATATGTTGTAAATTGTTATTGAGAATTCTAGATTGTAGTGAGTCTATATGTCGTAAATTGTTACAGAGAATTCTAGATTGTAGTGAGTCTATATGTTGTAAATTGTTACAGAGAATTATAGATTGTAGTGAGTCTATATGTTGTCAATTGTTACAGAGAATTCTAGATTGTAGTGAGTCTATATATATATGTTGTCAATTGTAACTGAGAATTATAGATTGTAGTGAGTCTATATATGTTGTCAATTGTTACAGAGAATTCTAGATTGCAGTGAGTCTATATGTTGTACATAGTTACTGAGAATTCTATATTGTAGTGAGTCTATATATATATGTTGTCAATTGTAAATGAGAATTATAGATTGTAGTGAGTCTATATATGTTGTCAATTGTTACAGAGAATTCTCGATTGCAGTGAGTCTATATGTTGTAAATTGTTACTCAGAATTCTAGATTGTAGTGAGTCTATATGTTGTAAATTGTTACTGAGAATTCTAGATTGTAGTGAGTCTATATATATATGTTGTCAATTGTTACAGAGAATTCTAGATTGCAGTGAGTCTATATGTTGTACATAGTTACTGAGAATTCTAGATTGTAGTGAGTCTATATATATATGTTGTCAATTGTTACTGAGAATTATAGATTGTAGTGAGTCTATATATGTTGTCAATTGTTAGAGAATTCTAGATTGTAGTGAGTCTATATATATATGTTGTCAATTGTTACTGAGAATTATAGATTGTAGTGAGTCTAGATATGTTGTCAATTGTTAGAGAATTCTAGATTGTAGTGAGTCTATATGTTGTCAATTGTTACTGAGAATTCTAGATTGCAGTGAGTCTATATATGTTGTCAATTGTTACAGAGAATTCTAGATTGCAGTGAGTGAGTCTATATATGTTGTCAATTGTTACTGAGAATTCTAGATTGTAGTGAGTCTCTATGTTGTAAATTGTTACAGAGAATTCTAGATTGTAGTGAGTCTATATATGTTGTCAATTGTTACTGAGAATTCTAGATTGCAGTGAGTCTATATGTTGTAAATTGTTACAGAGAATTCTAGATTGTAGTGGGTCTATATGTTGTAAATTGTTACAGAGATTTATAGATTGTTGTGAGTCTATATGTTGTCAATTGTTACTGAGAATTCTAGATTGTAGTGAGGCTATATGATGTAAATTGTTACAGAGAATTATAGATTGTAGTGAGTCTATATGTTGTAAATTGTTACTGAGAATTCTAGATTGTAGTGAGGCTATATGTTGTAAATTGTTACAGAGAATTACAGATTGTAGTGAGTCTATATGTTGTAAATTGTTACAGAGAATTATAGATTGTAGTGAGTCTATATGTTGTAAATTGTTACAGATAATTCTAGATTGTAGTGAGTCTATATGTTGTCAATTGATACTGAGAATTCTAGATTGTTGTGAGTCTCTATGTTGTCAATTGTCATTAATTGTTGTAGTCAAAGTATTTTTTCAGTTTAGAAACAAATCCGTCTGGCAGAGAGTTCAGTTCACAGAGCGCAATGTGTTGATATAGCAGTTTAGCAGGTACATGCAGGTTAATTCATCAATCAGCATAATAATGCCAAAAGGCGGCCATATAACTCAGCTACCCTACTTGAATTGGCATGCATATATGCATTCTGGTTGCTTTCATTTTCTCTTCATATCTAAACAAGATTTTGTTTTTATTGTAACGTGACTCTAACACACTATTCTCCATAAAATCTAGATGAAAAAGAAGATGCTGAAGACATTTGAAGCCACAAAATTTGCCAATTGTCCAATGGTTGCAGTGGCTGCTAAGCCTGGAGGTCCTGAGGTATTGTAAAAAGGGCAATTTTATACCTCTTCACTTTCGTTTTTTACCCTTATATGAGATGGGTTAACATTGTATGTCATCAATACACAGCTAGCAGTGTGTAGCACTAACTGGTCAGCAAACATGAATGTTTTGAAATACAACAGTGAGGACATTTGTTGTTTGATGATTGAGGGCTTACTGCAAGTAAAGCTTGTATGAAGGTTCAAGATGAAGTTTAAGTACAGTAAAAAATGTTTAAAATTAGCATCAATTTAGTCTGAAATCTACTGAAAGCAACAGAATGGTGATTTATTACTAATGCGGTCATTTACACTGAATTTGTAAAATGGAACAGTAGATGTAATCATTAGGAATTGAAAGTAACAAGTGAAATAAGTCCATTGCTATGAGAATGCTCACCAATAGGAAAATATGTACAGATGCAAAACATATGTAACCTGAATAACTTACCTGTTCTCATTCTGGTTGAAATGCGTTTTTAGTATTATAGAACATATATGCAAACCTAATCTTTCATTATTTTGTTCAAATTAGTTCTGTACAAAGTTTGTAATACTTTTTCATGAGTTTTAGTTTTCTTTGAAATCTTTAAAGTATAATAATATAACAAATATATCAGAGTACCTGCCCAAACTTGTTGGTTTTCTCTGGGTATACTCTAATTTCCTCCCGCACTAAGATCAATTGCATCCTACCATCTGGACCAACAAACAAGGTCATTATTAAATGACAAAACTTGTTAAATCAATATAGTTTGATTTTATTTTTATTCCAAAGTTTAGGCAATATACAAACTGATTTGTAATACTTAGTAAACAATTGGATATTCCTGTAGGCTCCTGACACTGAGGCACTGGGTTTGAACGATCTAATAGATACAATCAAGGCAAACACTTATGTACCTCAGCGGAGTCAGACAGGACCATTCATCTTCTCTGTGGACCACTGCTTTTCCATTCGAGGCCAGGGGACTGTGATGACCGGTACAGCACTGATGGGCAGCACAGCACTTAATGATGCAAGTACCTCACTCAGAAAAGTTTTTACTTATTTTGGAGTAACTATCATTGGAGATAAACGTTGAAAATTAAGGAAAATATGGAAAAAATAACCAATACATGTAGTAAAAAGAAATTTTTATCTTCCTTTCTAACCCGATTCTTGTATTTCCAATTTTACAGATTTTTCCAAATTAAGAGCATTTTTTTTTAAACACTAAATTTTCATTTGTATTACCACAGAATTTATTTTAATTTACTAAAAAGCCTATTAATATATTGTAAACCCATTATCTCTTTACATTGTTTACAGGTTCTGTTTTTATTTTTATAGACAATAGAAATTCCATCAATGAAAATTACCAAAAAGGTGAAGTCCATCCAGATGTTCAAGCGGCCTGTTGACCACATATCACAGGTAGGAACTCTAAACCACATATCACAGGTAGGAAATCTAAACCACATATCACAGGTAGGAAATCTAAAACACATGTCACAGGTAGGAACTCTAAACCACCTATCACAGGTAGGAAGTCTAAACCACATATCACAGGTAAGAAGTCTAAACCACATATCACAGGTAGGAACTCTAAACCACATATCACAGGTAGGAACTCTAAACCACATATCACAGGTAGGAAATCTAAACCACATATCAAGGTAGGAACTCTAAACCACATATCACAGGCAGGAACTCTAAACCACAAATCACAGGTAGGAAATCTAAACCACATATCACAGGTAGGAACTCTAAACCACATATCACAGGTAGGAACTCTAAACCACATATCACAGGTAGGAAATCTAAACCACATATCACAGGTAGGAAGTCTAAACCACATATCACAGGTAGGAAATCGAAACCACATATCACAGGTAGGAACTCTTAACCACATATCACAGGTAGGAAATCTAAACCACATATCACAGGTAGGAAATCTAAACCACATATCAAAGGTAGGAACTCTAAACCACATATCACAGGTAGGAAGTCTAAACCACATATCACAGGTAGGAAATCTAAACCACATGTCACAGGTAGAAACTCTAAACCACATATCACAGGTTGGAAATCTAAACCACATATCACAGGTGGGAAATCTAAACCACATATCACAGGTAGGAAATCTAACTAAATAGTCTATCTTAGATATTACAGATAAGATTTAGCGAAAATTCCTATGCTTTGTAGTGATGTATAGAAAAGAATTAGCAGAATTTCTAACCCATTGTTTTGATGAAATGAATTGAAACATGATATGATCCTTAACATGCAGGACCTGTGCCGTTTTTATTTAAATGGTTGAACCAGTCAGACCAAAGTTGTTCGTTTATTAAATAAGGTCAGACCTAGTAATCTGATGCTGCTTTCAGGCAAGCCTTAACAAAGCCTTGTAAGGCCTGCATAAAGATTTGCAGGTCCACCAGAATTTATACCTGAAATTGTTACATTTACAAATGGACAAACAGGTTGTACTGCCTAAACGAACAGTCCTCTGTTATCCAAAGCACAATACATTGTTTGTAATTAATGGGACATAACTCAAACAATTCATGATTGAGAATTGCAGTTAAAATGTCATTAATAGCAAATTGAACAGGCTACAGCTAGGTGTTGATTGAGGTTGTCTAGTGTGTCATTTGGGAAATGATTAGGGTTTTAAAAAAAAGGAAATTTAGTTTAATACAGAACAACCTTTCCATGATATTAATACAAACCATACATTGTTGAGTTGATGTTAATTGAAAGCTAACTCTGGGTATCATTTTTCACGTTAAGCTGATCTGTTTTATATCTTTTCCTTAAACCACATTTGTCAATTGTGTTAAGAAGAAGGACAGTCTCTCACCTAAAACACTGTGGTAAAAACACACACTTTTATTATTCTAAAAAACATTTTATGAACATATTTTGCACCTACTTAAAGGTTATAATGGCCTCTATAAAAGCATCGACTTGGTACAAGTGTTATTTAGCCATGAGGGACATACATATAGTATACTTCATATGAGGTTAAAATATATTTACATCAGTCACTCATGTTGGCGATATCGTTGTTAGTAAAGAAATGTCATAGTTTCCAATGTTACATACTTTTCACTGTGATTCACATCAACAATCCAATAGTCCCCCATTATATATGATACCATGTACTTTTTAAGATATGGATGACACTTAACTGCCATGGTTTTAAAACAGGTGTTTGATAGTGACTGTCCCATTACAATGACTGGAGATTTATCGTTTGTAAATGTGCTAATTTGTTACTTGTATACTTGTATCACAACAGGGTGACAGAGCAGGTGTGTGTGTGACCCAGTTTGACCCTAAGCTGTTGGAACGTGGATTGGTTTGTAGTCCCGGAGCATTGCCTACAATATCAGCTGCTATAGTGGCTGTGGAACAGATTTCCTATTACAAGGGCGCCATAAACTCCAAAGCCAAGTTCCACATTACCACCGGACATGATACTGTAATGGGACGAGTATCTTTCTTTAGTCTCTATAGTGATACTGTTGCTGCTGCAGGTGAAACTCCAGATTCTATCTCTAAATGTTTTGATTTTAGTGGAGAATATGTTTATCAGGATGAGTTGAAAAACATTAAAGTTATGAAAAAGGCCATTGGAGCAGAAAGCGATGCAGGCCCTTTACCTGTACAACAATTTGCGTTGGTGGAGTACGAAAAACCAGTCACATGTCCCAAAAATTCACTTGTGATTGGCTCAAAACTAGATACTGACATTCACACCAACATGTGTCGCATCGCCTTTCATGGTCGTCTACTCGAAGGAATTGTGGATGACTCAGAAATGCAGACAGTCTTACCTAAGCTGAAAGTATACAAGGTTAAAGTACGTGAAGGTCAGGTAGAACGATGCCAGGATGAGTATTCTGTGATAGGCAAAAATCTGTTTAAAAAGGAGACAAACATCCAGGCGTTTGTCAACCTGAAGGTGACTTTGTCGTCCGGGGAGAGAGGTCACATTGAGGGAGGATTTGGTCAAAGTGGAAAGGTCAAGATAAGAATTCCAGGTATTTTGTTGATAACTTGGGGAAAATAAAAAGTGTTTTAAAAATTGAGGGGGATGAAATTCTTTTATAACATTCTCCAAAATACTTTTCCATCCCCAGCCTCTTTAAAGAAAAAGTTTGCTAACATGGATGATTTTTCATTTGATATATATCTTTAACTGCATTTTGTGCAAGTTTATATGTGATTTTAAATTTTAGTGACAAACTTTTTTAGCTCACCTGGTCCGAAGGACCATGGTGAGCTTATGCCATACCGCAGCGTCCGTCGTCCGTCCGTCGTCCGTCCGTCTGTCAACTTTTCCTTTAAAATGCTACTAGTCATGAACGACTGAGCAGATTTTGACCAAATTTGGTCAAAAGCATCCTTGGGGAAAGGGGAACAAATGTTGTATAAATGGTGGGTCTGGCCCCCCTGGGGGCTGAGGTGCGGGGCCCAATAGGGGAAATATAGCAAATTCTTCAAAATCCTTCTTCTGTAGGAATGAAAGGATTTGTTTCATATTTGGTCTGAAGCATTCTTGGGTGAAGGGGAACCAATTTTGTATAAACCGTAGGTCTGGCCCCCCTGGGGGCTGAGGGATGGGGCCAAACAGGGGAAATATAACAAATTCTTTAAAATCCTTCTTCTTCTGTAGGAATAAAAGGATTTGTTCCATATTTGGTCTAAAGCATCCTTGGGAGAAGGGGAACCAATCTTGTATAAACCATTGGTGTGGCCCCCCAGGGGCCTGAGGGGCGGGGCCAAAATAGGGGAAACATAGCAAATTATTCTTTAAAATCCTTCTTCTTCCGTAGGAATAAAAGGAGTTGGTCCATATTTAGTGTGGCCCCCCTTGGGGGCTGAGGGGCGGGGCCTTATAGGGGAAATATAGCAAATTCTTTAAAATCCTTCTTCTTCTGTAGGAATAAAAGGATTTGTTCTGAAGCATCCTTGGGTGAAGGGGAACCAACTTTGTATAAACTGTGTGTCTGGCCCCCAAGGGCCTGAGAGGCGGGGCCCCATAGGGGAAACATAGCAAATTATTCTTTAAAATCCTTCTTCTTCTGTAGGAATAAAAGGATTTGTTCTGAAGCATCCTTGGGTGAAGGGGAACCAACTTTGTATAAACTGTGGGTCTGGCCCCCAAGGGCCTGAGAGGCGGGGCCCAATAGGGGAAACATAGCAAATTTCTCTTTAAAATTCTTCGTCTGTTGGAATGAAAGGATTTGGTCCATATTTGGTGTGGAGCATCCTTGGGTAAAGGAGAACCAATTTTGTATAAATGGTTGGTGTGGCCTCCCTGGGACTTGAAGGGCGGGGCCCAATAGGGGAAATATAGGTAAAACCTTTATAATCCTTCTTCTACCATAGGGATTAAGGGATTTTATCCTAATTTAGTCTGGAGCATCCTTAGGCAAAAAGGACTCAATTTTGTATTAACAGTGTGTCTGACACCTCTGTAGGCAGAGAGGCGGGGCCCAATAGGGGAAGTAGAGGTAAAACCTTTAAAATCCTTCTTCTACCATAAAGAATAAGGGATTTTATCCTAATTTAGTCTGGAGCATCAATGGGCCAAGGGGACTCAATTTTGTATAAGCAGTGGGTGTGGTCTCCCAAGGGGCAGAAGTGCGTGGGCCCAATAGGAGAAATAGAGGTAAAACCTTTAAAATCCTTCTTCGACCATCAGGATTATGGGATTTTATCCTTATTTAGTCTTTGGGTCAAGGGGACTCAATTTTGTATAATTGGTGGGTATGACCCCCCTAGGGCTGGGGCTCTGTTTGAAGTTTGTTCTCACTATATCTCAAGTACTGTATGGATCTTTCTGAAATTTCATATGTACTTACAGCACCTACTTTATACCAATTATCTTAAACATATTCAGGTGGGCGATACAGGCCCTCTGGGCCTCTTGTTTTAAGGATCCTTTTACCACTGCCAAAAACTGTATGTATGCATTGGAAAATGTTTATTTCTGCATGACTATAGCTTTCATAGATTATTTTCTGATAAAAGCATACCTTGCAGGACTTTTATGAAAAATGATAAAGGTAAAGTAAACAACGACGAAGTTCTGAGTGTAAACACTTCAATGGGGCTAGCTTGGCATTCAAACCCAGGACCTCAGTGTAAACACTTCACTGGGGCTAGCTCGGCATTCTAACCTAGGACCTCAGATTGCTGTAATATGGCTCTAACTGACTGAGCTACCTAGTAAACAGAAATGTCCGGGGCAAACTATGCTACAGTTATGTAAAAAAACGAAATTAAGGGGAGGTAACTGTATGTTCGAAAAACCAGAGTGCAGTGGAACAGGGATCCTTAAGGTTATAAAAAACATTGGATCATTATGATATACCTTAGTGTTAAATAGTACACCAACTGAGTAAATTAAGTTTGTTTCTTCACAGATGGACTTCAGCCAAGCACATTCCAAAGGTATTCTGGGACAAAGAAGAAAGGAAAGGGCAAGCAGGTGTCTGAAGATTCAACAAATGAAGTAGAGGCTGACCAACAACCTATTAAAATCTTCCTTACATTCAAGCGATTTATTTATGACCCAGAAAAGAAAATGAAACAGACTTAATTCAATTATAAATTGTTGGGTCAGGTATGCTATTTGTTTGTACCGTCAAATATGGAAGTTTTTTATATATATATTTTTTTTTTTTTTTTTTTTTAAATTATTATAAAGAAATAAGTTGCAAAACTGATTTATAATATTTAAATCAGGGTACAGTATGTATGAAAAACTACAATGGGATTCCTTATTGTTTTGCCACCAGTTTGATAGGGGTCCTTGAGGCAATGTCACATTAAGGTTAAATTTAACTCAGTGATATATAATTAATTCAACTAAAAACTAAAGTATTGTAAGAATTTGTCTACAAATCTTTTAGAAGACTACTTTAGGAAAATTCAAGGTTTTTAGCTCACCTGCCTAAAGGGCAAGTGAGCTTATCTCATGGCGTGGTGTCTGTCAACTTTTCCTTTAAACAACTTCTTCTGAAGAACTGACAGGCCTAGAGTCATGATATTTGGCTGAAAGCTTCGTTTGCAGGAGCCAAATGAAGTTTGAGAATGAAAATGGCCTTGACCTACTTTCAAGGTCACAGCGGTCAAATATGATAAATGCTTCAAACCACTTCTACTGAAGAACTGAAAGGTATAGAATCTTCATATTTGGCTGGTGAGTTTCTGGGATAGAACCCGACAAAGTTTGAGAATAAAAATGACCTTGACCTACTTTCAAGGTCACAGGGGTCAAATGTGTCAAACACTTCAAATGTGTTCTCCCGAACAACTGAAAGGTATAGAATCTTCATATTTGGCTGGTGGGTTCCTGGGATAGAACCCGACAAAGTTTGAGAATAAAAATGACCTTGACCTACTTTCAAGGTCACAGGGGTCAAATGTGCCAAACACTTCAAATGTGTTCTCCCGAACAACTGAAAGATATAGAATCTTTATATTTGGCTGGTGGGTTCCTGGGATAGAGCCAACAAAGTTTAAGAAGGAAAATGACCTTGACCTACTCACAAGGTCACAGGGGGAAATATGTCAAACAACTTCTGAAGAAGAACCAAAAAGCTTAGAATCATATAATAATATTTGACTGGTAGTTTCAACAGATGGAGCCGACATAGTTTGCGAATGAAATATTTGTAGTACAGTATAATATTTAATGATAATATTTTGCTACGACTGCTTAAATATTCAGGTGAGCGATACTGGCCCTCTGGACCTCTTGCTTGGATCAGTCCACTTGAGGATATAAGGGAAGTCAGGTTATATACAGTCGAACCTCGTTATCTCGAACTCGTTTAACTCGAAGACCCCGTTTAACTCGAAGTGTTTCATCGGTCCCGGCCAAAACTCTTCTTAATCTTAGTAATAAAAACTCTGATAGTTCGAACTCTGAAAACTTGAATAACTCGGATATCTCGAAGTGAAATATCAGTCCCAACAACGTAAATCCTACATAAAAATATCGCTTACCTCGAAGTTTCTTAAGATTCACAAGTCGATCATATAGTCTTTAATTATTTGATACATATTAGACGCAGTGCTACGGTAAACATCGTTCTCATAGAGCAGCTAACGCTTGGTCATAATTACTTTGATTAAACTTATTGTATTAAAATGTGTTTGACTGTAAAAACACTTTGTTCAAATAAAGAAACAGACTTCATCAATGTAGATTAACAACAATTAGTACTCACTGCGAGCCCGTAAACAATTTGAATGGCATATTATTTACACCAAAGCTGCCGACACATTCTAACCGGTAAATGGGTCACTGTGTGCGGTCATGCGTAAATAAGCTCCACAGTAAAAATCACAACCTAGGACTGGTTCGTCGATTTATGTTTTTACAGGAGCTTGTATGGCAGTGACACTGATAATTAATTGAGGGATTATAGGAACAATACGATAATTATTATTGAGTACGTCGTGTTGAGGAGATGTCAAGTGTCATTGGGGTCTATAAATGTTGATATGTTTCCTGATTAACTCATACCCATTTCGGAATGTCGAAATCAACTGAGCAATCCAACGAAGGACCCGGCTCCACCGGGGGGATACTTGGATCAGTTGAAAGGGTGAAAACCGGCGTGAAGAGAAAGATTGTGTATTGTTTTCGCGTGTACTCATTAAAAACATCATTTACGTGTACGCTCCAATACCGTGATTTGTGTAAAGACCTGCGCACTTTCATTTCCGCTATCAGCATAGCGAGGTCGGAGACAGCATGCAAGTTTTACAGTAGACGTTCTTCCTGTTTGTATGTGGTTATTGTAACATTGATTTGTATCAATTAATTAATATGATTATGAATAAATTGTTATTTTTATTTTATATCGTTATCTTTTTGTCATTTATCGACTGTTTATATAAGTTGTTGATTTTTCCGACAGTCAACGTATTGATAGCCTCATATTTGACCAAACACTTTACCAAGCTTTATGCCAAACACATGAACTCGCTTAACTCGAATACTCGGATAACTCGAAGTTTTCCAGCGATCCCGTCGACTTCGAGATAACGAGGTTCGACTGTACCTAGAAAACAAGTCATTAGTACATGCTGATTTCAGATTTTATTACAGGTTTTTGAGATCAATTACCTTGTTCTTGAATATTAAAAAGAATATATTTCACACCAAAATAAAGGAAGCTGATGTTCTAGAATGGCTGATTTGTATAAATTAATGATTACAGTGTTTTGATTTTTTTTATCTAGACTGGAGTTGTAAGAGAAACTATTTACAAAACCTGAAAACAATAAACCTGTGACATGTTTACATTAATTCCTCAAACATGTTTAATGGTTTTGTATTTATTTGGTATAATTTGTTTATCATCACTCCAGGTTTAGTCACTCATCAGTCACTGTAATCTTGAGAAGTTTGAGTACCTTCTCTCTTGTGGCTAACACTAAGCGTGACCACAATACATCATCCTTCTGTATACCTACTATGAACTGTCGTCCATTGTTTGTGTGAAGTGTTTTTATGTACTTCCCTGCTCCACTTATCAGTTCTATTGTGTTCCTTGTCCTGTCAGCAATAACAATATTACCCTTACTGTCATATACAACTGATATTGGGCCAAAACTATCTGGTGTGACCACCCCCTGTGCCTGTATCCCCTCTCCCCGGTAGTGGACCAGGGGCTGGAGTGTTTGGTTGTACACGATGATGTGACGCATGTAGTTGTTGTAATCCCTACTGTCCTCACTGATTAGTTTGCCACCCACTACATCTATCTTACCTGTAACACCACACTGTGTGATGGACCATACTCCCCACCCCCCCCCCCCCCCCCCCCTCCCCTGACCTCTCCACAGTGGCTGTGTGTAACACCTGGTCGTTCGCTGTGTACATCACCACCTTGTACCCCTGTTTACCCCATGTACCCGACCCTCCCTGGTCACACAAAGACTGGCTGGGTCCCCCTCTGTAGTAGTAAACCACTACCCCGACCCTCCCTGGTCACAAAAAGACTGGCTGGGTCCCCCTCTGTAGTATTAAACCACTACCCGACCCTCCCTGGTCACACACAGACTGGCTGGGTCCCCCTCTGTAGTAGTAAACCTTGTGACTGGTGTAGAAGATGTAGGTACTTCATAGATATTCCTGTCATCCCTACAACAGATCCACAGTTGTATCTTCTGTATGACTCGACCTTTATTGTTAATGAGGATTACTGTGTTGGTGTCATAATCACACAGCCATGCACGTCCATCAGATGTAGGACAGATTGATCAGATAAGATATGGGTATGAGAACTGGGATATGACAGTTGGACTGTCACAAAGTTTGTACAGGACTGCTTCAGTGGAGGCTTGACCCGTCTCTGTAGTTTTGGACTGTTTAGGTCTCACAACTGGACCTTGTTTGGAGTGACCACTAGATGCTAATCCTACTGAGAGATGGTCAGTAGTAGCCTTCATTTTCCCCATGGCTTGCTCCAGGTGGCTTTGTCTCTTGTTACCTGGAGTGAACTCTGTCATGTCTATGTTAGGTGTCTGGAATATCTAAGTCCATGTCCTGGATTTCTGATACCGAGTCATACTCAAGTACAGCAGTGCCTGTCTGGAGGGTGTGTTTACACTTTGATGAGAGTTTCACTAAAGTGTCTAATTCCTGTCCTCCAGGTTTGTGATGCGTGTCTGAAGGAGGTCTGTGGTCGCCTTTTCCATCTTGTCACATATTGCTAAATAATCCTCCGATTTCTTATCTTATTCCATTTAATATTGGTCGTGCCGTTTTTAATATTTACAGATAGTTTTTGTAGTTAAATTCCCTTGTCAAAATTTCTTCCTTGCTGATTGGATTTCATTTTTGAGTTCGGGAATTTCAATGAATTCAGTTTCATTCATAAAGTCTCGTAGTGTATTTTTTTGTTCATTTGAAATTTTCGAGATTTCACAAAAACTATCAATATGTGTTTTGTGAGTTGTTATGGAGCAAGTAATGCAGATCAGTAATCCACAGTCCTGACAGAGGAGCACTACCTCATTGGCCTTATGGTGCAGACACTTTGTGTCCTGACTGGAATGTGTCCCTTAAGACAGGAGCTTCTGTGTTTGGTTGCCATGGTTATTGATGTAGGTAAATAAAGGTGTACATGGTAGTTAAACTTCTGAAAGATCTTTAGGTCTTCGTTTGTGTACCTGTGAAAGAAAAAATAATAATTAAATGTTGTATTGATTAAACAAGAATTCCACGGAAGTGGGTGTGTCGCCTGCGGAGGAAGCTGGAAGATTACGAAGAAATAGATACACTTTTCATTTCAAGTAATAATGTTAAAAGTAAGCAATAATGATAGATTATGTTTTTGGATGGCATCATTTTGTTATATAATCTGTTATTCTGGGAAGAATACTCTGAGTTTTAAGGAACTTGCTATGGATACTCATTGTCTCAATTCCAAGTTTAATTTGTATGATTTGTCGGATGGTTTCCCATAAATAAATGAATAAACTTGTGGATTATGATGTTAAACAGCTAGTGTTGTCAATAACATTTTGAGTAAGACGGCATTTCAGAGGTATACACGGTGGGTCAAGTGGTAGATCGAAGCCGTCCAGTATACAGTTTTAATGAAGTGGTAGATCCAAGGTGTTTAATATACATTGTGAGTCGAGTGATAGATTAAAGGCGTTTTGTATACACGATGAGTGGAGTGGTAGATCCAAGATGTTTTGTATACACGGCGAGGGGAGTGGTAGATCCAATGCGTCCAGTATATAATGCGAGTCAGGTGGCCAAGGCGTTTTGTATACACGGTGAGTCGAGTGGAAGACTAAAGGCGTATTTTGTATACATGATGAGTGCAGTGGTACATCCAAGGCATTTAATTAGTAGACACATTGAGTGGAGTGGTAGATCGAATACATTTTGTATACATGATGAGTGGGGTGGTATATCCGAGGTGTTTTATACACGGCAAGTCAAGTGGTACTTCC